AGAGCGTCCTCACCAACGGGATCACCGTGTGGTATGGCAACACCTCTTCTCGAGAAAGAGCAGAGAATGGTCAATATGGCCCAGAAGATCATCGGCTGCATTCTCACCGAGATTAAACACCTCTATGAGGACCTCTGCCGTGGTAGAATTCTGGCCATCACAGAGGACAGTCACCACCCCGGGCATGAGCTCTTCACCCCACTGTCCTCAGACAAGAGATATAAGAGCATACGGACACTTACCACTAGATTCTTCAATAGCTTCTATCCACAAGCAGTGAGACTGGCAAACACATTTAGCCATCCCCCTCGGACCACACCTACACCATCACCATCTACCTCTTTATGATTTGTTATCTATTGCGCATCTGCAGTCATTGTTTACACGTCTGTATTGTTTACATTCAAACATTTTTACTTGCACATTGTATATTGTTTGTTTGTACATTGTCTTAATGCACTGTTTGCACTTTGTTTTGTTTTTTACACTTGTTTTACAATCGAGAGACTTTCTGTAAGTAAGAATTCCATTGTACCAGTACCGGTTACATATGGCAATAAAGTTCAAGTTCAAGTTCAAGTTCATTGCTTTATTTCTTCTAAACCTAATGCCACTGACACTGATTTCTATACTGTATACAGTATATTGGATTCTTAGTCCTAATTGAATTAGTTGTGATCTTTCACCAATATGACTTTCATATCAAATCTTTCATATGGTAAGATTCAAAAGCACTTCTGGAAAGCTGGTTGCCATGTGTTTGTCCTACATTTTAGGAAAACATTTCTCTTAGAAGTCTGATACTGTACCCGAAGCATGCTCTTGATCTTTCTTGTGCATAGCAGCACAAAAAGGCTACAAAGAGGTGGGAATTTGAGTCATTTGATGTGACTGGCTACTGGTTTCTTATTGATGTACTGTATACCTTCCTAGTCATTCTTGTTTAAAGTGTTTATCCAAATGGCACAGTAACTAATTTTGGAATTGGCTCCTCTATATTGTCCACAAGAGAATACCAATAAGTCAATAAACTCTATAAATTCTTTCAAACACTGCTTCTTCAAGATCAGTGCTACAGTACCTTTCATCAATTTCCATAAGGGATCAATAAAGTATTATCTATCTACTGTACCTACCTGCATTCAATTTATGATGTATATTGTTGGAACCTGCATTCACTGCTTTGCACCTGTCTGACTACTACAATTAAGTGTGAATCTAATAAAGCAATCTTCTGATTTTACACTACAACCTTTTAATCCTTTTATAAACTTGTGAGTTGTTGAGATTGATCGGTCCATTATTACCTACTTTAATTTTATCATTGTTCTTGTGTCCATTTGACTATTGCCACATGTGTGTTTAAATGATCCTTTGCTAGTGATGTGATTAATAGCCTTCATTTATCTTGGCTCAATAGGATAGATAGTATCTTTTAGGTGTGACTTATCTTTTCAGTTTTTTTTTACTTCCCAATCAGACATTCTCTTGGTACATTCCTTTGATGACACCTTCACAGTGTGTGTGTTTGTGTGTTTGTATTTATGCACATCATTAATTTTCATTGAACCCATCTCTCTTGTCTTAAGCATTCTCAAACCTTCGGATAATATATATGCTATTTTCAATTGAGGCTAACCAAAGTTCTGTATGGTTTCTTTGCACATTATCAGATTTTGTGAGAAACGACTTTTAAAAGCCATGCTTCAATTTACTGAAGAATGTTTTAAAAGCTGTGTTGTTATTGATCTAAATTAATAAAATAATTTTGCTGTGTTTTAAAGAAATCAACTTTAATCATGTACATTGTATCCACATACAGGTTATCTCTCCTGTGTAGATGTATTTATTCAGTATAAAGTACATGAAGGTTGGCAAATCAGTACAAATTTATTATTTTGGAAGTGTATATTGAAAGCCCTCCAAACTTCTCTGGGTGCCCAAAATTATATAAATCAAAGTAAATAAATATGGCAGGCATTCTGAAAAAGTCTCATGCAGAAAAACTTTTGGTGATTGTGACCATAGATTTATATTCTACCTTGATCATGTATCTTTGTTGTGCTTAAAAAGTCAACTAAGCTGAAAAATGATTGACATTTTACTGAATTGCTTTACTAATTTTAAATGGATTCTAACAACTTAAACAATTGAAAACAATGAGGTGGGGTTTTGGAATAATGTATGACCCATTCATTAATGCTGGCAACTCTAGAGACTTTTATCCATTTTTATTAATGTTATCTCCTCATTCCCTCTTTGGTCATCCTCCATTATTAATAGGCCAATTTTGCAATCCTTATTTTCATGGGTTCATGGCTCCTAAAACACTGACGAGTACAAATGCATACAGGGGTGAAAAATGTGGTGTCTTTACTTTAGCCAATTTTCATTAACATGTTAACTAGGATTGCCCTGTATAATGGAACTCATTAAGTCCAATTATTTAAAAGTAGTGTCTATCCTGGGGGACCACTGCCAAATCCTTTAGGGAGGAGAGCTTTAGTTTGGAAGTGTAATTTATATAATTAAGAGTCTGGACTCTTTTTAATATTATTATTCTTCCAGCAGATGATCGTGTATTTTAAGCACTCCATATCTCCTTTGAGACACTTGAGAAACTTCCATGACCTTTCTGTAGGGCTCACATTGTTTTTTTTCCTTTCAGCTGCAGCAGGTTGACCCCATTTTTGAAGGTGTTTGAAAGCATAAATTAGCTGCAAACTTTAAACACATTACTTCAGCGAGAGTGTTATACTGCCTGTAAATCTTTAGTTTTAAGTCACACGTTATTGGCTCAGTATTGCGAAGAAAGACTATGCAAGGTCAGTCTGTGGTTAATAAGTTTGTAAACTTGCATTGTCCAGAAATCATCAGCTAGAGTTAGTCGTGGATAAGTGAAAGAATATATAATCCTTTGTATCTAAATGTCAGTATACTTCCACATACCAAGGGATGAAAATTTTACAGAAAAGATACACAGTTAATTCATAGCTCAGTTTTTTAATCCTACAGAATAAAATAAAGAAATTAATATTTAATTCAAGATGCAGTGAGTCTGCCTAGTGCTCAGATTGGATATGTCTTAAATGTATTTTGTAATTAGTGGACAAAGTATGCAGAACCTCTAGTTTTAGAATATTAGAAGAAATATTACATGATAGGAGGCGTTTCAGCCTGCCTTGTGCATTTGTTTGCTTCTAGCTTATTTACAGTATTCAAGGAGTTTATCCTGCCATTGCTTGAAAGAATCTTGGGAATCAGTTTCAACAACCTGGCTTGGCTCCTTGTTCCAGACACCCCCCATCTAATATAAAGAAGTGCTTCATATCTTTATCATTCTTCAGAATAAAATACAGAATAATAATATATATTGTTTTATTTTACCAAATATTTTTTTTCTTTCTAAAACTCCTGATTTGCAGTCTTGAGTTTTCAATCAACTTATGTTACTGGTACAAGGAGGGATAAGGACTTTCCTCAGAAATGCTTTACATGATGGTGCAGGTTTGCTCACAGGCACCCATTAAACCATTGGCAGCAAGCCAAGGATGTTTGGGCCGAGTCAACCCATCCATACCATGTGGCACTCAAATAGTGGTTGTACAGCTTCTCTGAGAATTCTGTTCACAGCTTGGTCATGAAAATCCACTCTCAAATTAGTAAGTTCTGAACTCATGAACCAAAGGGGCCCATTGCTGATGGCACTACTTTGGAAAACATCTTTCATTAATCTTTTAAACACAAGGTTTTGCATACAGATTAGTAAAGTAGAATCAACTCATAGTCATTTCAAGCTAACAAAATTCACTGTTTGGACTGTACTTCTGAAACCTATTTTTTTAAATTTTATTTTGTACAGCACCATATTTACCATATTTAGTTTTCAGTTGTATTTTTTTTTTAGATTGTAACAACCAGTTCTGTCACTGTTTATTATTAAGAATGGATTCTCCAGAAACAAACAATTTTGCAGTTATGCTTCAAAAACTGTTTTTTTTTCTTTCTCGCAAAAGACACCTTAATTGATTCAGATACCAAGGGCTAAAAATACACTAAATCACTGAAAGCTATAATCTCGGTAAATCCATATTTCTTTTGCCTCTGGATGATATATCATTATAATACTCATATACCCTTTTTCTTAATGATTGATTTTAATACTCTTATTAATTTTCGTTCAGAAGAGCATTTAAAAAGTCAAATACCTCTCTTTTTTTCTCTGGGTTATACAATCAGAAAAAAAAGTTTAAAATTAATTTCTGGGTCTGTATTAACACTGATGCCACACAATAAAAAAAGACTGTTCCCAAGGTAATTTAAGTATTAAAGAATTCTCATGAATCTTTGATGTCTTGAGGAATTTGCATAAATGGTGCAAGTGTGAGGTGACCGTCCTTGTAATGGGGTTGTTAAAGATCATTTACTCTTTTAAATTTATTTTGCAGCCCTGAGGGACAACCGGATCGAACTGGTTCGAGCTTCGTGGCACGAGCTGAGCATCAGCATCAGCGATGTGACCCTGTCAGACGAAGGACAGTACACCTGCTCCCTCTTCACGATGCCTGTCAAGACTGCCAAGGCCTTCCTGACAGTGCTAGGTGAGTACATGCACTTGAAAATAAAGGGCTGCATTGAGCTCACTTTGATTGAGAGCATGTGGAATTCCCAGTCACTGTGAACTGATGAAACATACAGTATAATATCTTAAGTTTATTTCTTTACCTGCAACACTCTTGCAGGGACTTCTATGGAATCTTTGGCTTTATTTCTCAAAATCTAAGATTTTATACTTTTATCTTGGTATACCGCTCCAAAACCTCCATGAGCTGATTATCACTGCAAGCTCAGAGATGCCTAGTAATTACTAGGGCTCATTATTGCTTTCTAGTCCTAGATCTTCCTAAGCTGAGATCACCTAGCTCCCAATTTAGTAATCCAGTTGTTTTGTACTTTGAAAATAGTCTTTTTTGTTACTTGTTTTCACAATTCAAATTATCTACTATTACACCTCTTGTATCTGCACATTGGATAGGAATGAAGATCTTGCACCCTTTCAGGTTACAGACCACAGTTCCTTGTAACTGAGGTACTATTCTCTGGAGAAGTCATGCTGCTTAGGTTTCAAGCTTGCAGGTGTTGCTGTTTAGAGGCTGAAGACACTTTTCTGACTGAAGTCTGTCCTACCCCAAGCAATTATGCATCACTTACAATCAGCTCAGACAGCCTAGATGTGAGCCACCAATGTCTGGAGTATTGACTCTAAAAGCATTTTACTTTAAATAGCTTCTGATTTTAGAACCTACACTGTATGGTGATGCAGCTCTTAGTACGCAAAGCTGGCATACTGACTTGGCTAGGAGTGAATTTGTATTATTGAGATTAAATACAGATGTCCTTAGAGCAGGACTAGACCAATCCTAATCTTGGTGCTGGTTTATCTGAAGGTTTCCATTCCAGCTGTCTCGCTATACTCTTTGTTGGCTCCTAACTTAATTATTGGCTTAATTGTACCAGTTTTACAACTTCTCCCACGTTTTCACGTATTGGTGCTTTAAAGAGACCTCGAAAACTGATATACAGTATTGTACATCAGTATATGTGTTCCACTTTAGGATTAGTATGTACATACAGTATGTTTATTGTAATTAATGATCTTAAAATATACTTGAATCTAAATGAGAACTATTTATAGAAATAATTTAAAATGAGCACATTTCTCCATGAATACTGGGACAATTACTAGGGCAGTAGTAAAGGGTTTTACATTTTTATTTAAATTGAAAATATTGCACATTTGCCAGGATGGATGCAGTTGTGTAATCACAATGCAAGGTATTCCATTTAGCTGATTTACTTTTCCTGAGAGTGTTCAGCCTGAAAGAAGAGCTGATCAGTGTTTCTGATGGGAGTGATTGGGAGAGAATATTTTTATTAATGTGAAGCAGTGACCTTAACATATTCATGGCTTGAAATAAAGCATATTAACCAGTATTTTTTCTGAATATTTAAGTGCATACTGGAAAAGTTATCTTGCCTAATTTATCTAACTCAATGAAGAAATTAAGAGACCAGATGGAACAGAAAGAAAATTGAAATATCCCTTTAAGGCTAGATTAAAGCAGATCTAATTTGCTGAGTTTGTGGAAATATACATATGTTTTCAATTGCCCTCTTAGTTTTTCACTATATACCCACACAATCTGGAATATCCTTTTTTTTTTTTAAAGAGTTTACGGCAACTCTGGCACCTAAAAAAAACATGATCACACGCTTTCTTCTTCAATACTCATCTCCAGAGAAATTCAAAGTGAGACACCCTGCAAGCTCTACTGCGCTTAACAGGAGAGTTAGCACTAACTGGAGGAGCAAATACACATCTCGCCCTGATATCAAGACTATTGGTCCCCAAGAAGTCACATACAGTAAGTTGGTGTATGCTTGAAATCTAAGAGAGACCTGGCAGATCTCTGTCTGTTTTGTGCCACCACTGTAGGAATTCCTAATTGGGCAGTGATTTTGTCAATTCAGGCTCAAAGAAAAATCATTTTGACACTAATGGGAGGAGTATAATAGAATATCTCAAGGATTGCACATATTTTGAGGAAAACCTGCTGCTAAGATAGCGAGGAAGTGTTAACCAATAGTTGCATTTTACAACTCTTTAATTTCATGGGAGTGGAGGGACCAACTTGAAGCTACCTAAATGTTTAGTTCCTGAAATGCATTTGAAAATTAAACATCCTCAATAAACCGGTGGTGTCCCTCATCTCCAGCTCATTCTGAAAGGTCAGGATGGAAACATCTTTAAATTATTGACATTGCTTTTGTGCTGCCTTTGAACAAGAGGAAATAGCAAGGGAAAATAGTGTTTACTCTTTTGGTGATTTTAATTAACAATATCTTTCAGTCTCCCAAAGCAAACACATGGTTCAGCAAAACACTTTAGAATACACCTGCGCAGGAAACGTAATTAGATTTTTATTGTAAAAAATATCTAGTCATTTTCCCTTGAGCTTTAAACCTTGTATTTGTTCAGGGACATTTCTGCTGCATTTCTAACTTGTTTGATGGGCAAATGCCCTCTTAGCTTTCTTAGATGCCTGTTTGAAATACTTAATTAGTCTTCTGATACCATACTTTCCTGGGTTATGGAAAATTCTTAATTATTTATTACCAAACTACATTTCCTTTTATTGTTTTGCCTGTATTTCTATGTGTTTAAATTTTGTTGGAATTGACAACATCGTATTATCTCATTTGTAAATGTTATAGTAATTACTGTACTCTAGGTGCCCAATTAACTCACCTGATTTTCATAATTTGACCTGCACCATGACAGCCATTAATGGTCTGTACTTGACAACAAGCATACATAACATCAAGCCCTATTCATTTTAGGCTTGACACTTTTTAGTTGTACAGTGCAATGTGATACAAAAATAATTAAATAAATCTTTAAACCTGTACAGACATTTAAACAACAATGGTTTATGCCTGTTAAGCACTTGGAAAAAGATGCTAATTATACTGTCCAGAGTTTTTGAGGCAATTACTCATCATGGTAGCATATGTTGGACAAAATCAGAAACTGCATTTGGATTCCTGTTTAACAGTTGCACTTATGGGCAATAAACTTAACAAATAACCAATGCATACTGTTAGAAGATCAAAAAGAAAGAAAACATGTTTAAACATATTCCATATTGTATTGTAAATTAATCATCCTGTCAAAGCTCTTCTTATAATTAAATACTGCCATTTTAGACCATATCTGAGTCACACAGTATGTTTTAATTGCTGTAAAAGCTGAAGGATAAATACTTTCAAAAATTAGTGATTAAAATGTGTGACAGTGTGGTTCTTAGTTACTTTCTTAAGTCTTATTAAAGGAGCAATCTATAAAAGTAGAATAGCTGTTGAAACACTTAACTCTTCCATACCAGTAGTACTGTATGTCTGCATTGTGAAAGACAAATAGCATCTGTCAGATGAGGAGCAGGTAGAAAGGAGAAGCAGCCTGAGACACTTTTTAATGGAATGAGTGATGCCGCTCAGTTCAATAACCGTATGTGTCTTGCTACTCACCGCTTTGACAAACAGCACTTTGTCATTCCTCATTTACATGTGAGCATTTGCAGTGGCAGATTTAACACTTTTTTTATGCTAGAACAGCTGGCACAGCCCTTAAGAAGGTGTCTGATGCAGGACTAATTCAAGCAACATCTCCATTGCTTTCACGATGTGGGACACTTCCTTCTATGTAGCATAGCTCCTAATGAAAATGTCTTCTTTTTTTTGTTGTGTAATGCACTGTATTGTTACATCCAGAAAGGCAAAGAAGCCTCTCCAACAATTTGTAGTTTCAAAGTCAATCCATTGGAAACAGGATTAAGCTGTTCTGAAACTTAATAATGTAGACATTTTTGTTTTATCACATCACACAGCTGTCTCACACCTGATGTGACATATCTAACTGCAGCAGCAAAAACAATTCATTTATCGCTAGACACAAAGCACTGCATGCAGTCTGAAAAGACCGATTTGTGTTTTCGCGTCCAGTTGGTGGTGGGGGGTAATTTATTAACCCAACAATGGCCAAAACATAAGGGTTTATAAATACATTTTGTAAAAGCAGAATGATTGTTTTCCCTACAAAAGTGATTCCCAAAATATATTGACGTATCAAGGTATTTGAAAGGCCATTCAGAATGTCTGTCACTACAGTATATGCTTTTCTTCTTTATGGAGGTTATAAGTTGATTATTGCAAATTTTCACTTGATATAAACATTAGAAATGTCATTTGCTCATGTACTCTAGGTTAATAACAGTTGTGCCTAATGAGTATTTCTGTATCATTTTTTAAAACTACAGTGATTTAGCTGTCATGCTCCCAGTACTTAAATGCTCTCCTAACTGAATTAAAGATCTCATCTGTGATACCATTTCATTTATCGTCAAAAGAAACCAATATCTCATTTTCCTGAGTTATGCTTTTATTGATTCCTATACTCTCTTGTCTCCTATAAGCAAGAATTATGCTTCAGTTCTGAAGATTGTTTCATACTGATTATTATATTTTTTCCAATACTGAATATAAGCCAGAAAAAATGGAAATGAATCATACATGCCAGTCAGAAGAAAATGAAATAAAAAACAACCCCATTAGAGATTTTTCTCCCCATTGAAACTTTGCACGTATGGAGCTTATACAGTACTTTCCATTTCAGCCGTTATATGATACTTATTATATATTGTACCTGTTATTATGGCATTTTCTGGATTCAGGGGTTGTGCAAATTTTCAACAGTTAAGTGCATTGTTCCATAACATTTTAGAATATGCATAACACAAAAGTCCATATACTGACATACTGACAACATGTTTAAAAGAGTGAATTTCAAAACTTTCAACTGTGTTTCTCAAACTTCAAATGACATATAAGAATAGCTATGAAGTGTTTGTTATACAATGTACATGTCAAAACCCCTTTGAGGAATGGATTACTTTCCACATCCTAATGGTTCCTTTATCACCCTGTTTTTTTACTGTTTGCCTTTTACTGAGTATACTTGGCTCTCATAAGTCTCTTGATCCATAAATAATGAAAGCAGGTGATTGTGAGAGTTTCAATATTTCTTTCCATTTCTTAATTTCAGAGAGCTCATGAGTTAAGAAGGCTTTCCCCTCAGCACTTTCATAAATCATGAAACTCCAGCCTTACCCCAAATCCCTAATCCAGTCTTAACACTGCCACCTATCACCATCTATCAGTTTGCTTCCCAATTGTCTGGATGTTATTTTGATTTTTCTTTTTCCCACCAGTGTAGCAAAATTATGTTCAGGGGGAAGTTCTTCAAATGTATTACTGTGAATACAGTATGTCATGTGGTCTGTTCACAAGTGAAAAGCAGTTCATCCTAGAGGGATGTTCATCCAACTATGAATTTAAAGTAAGCTAGATCCTAACCTTGCAGAAACAGGGTGCAAGGTGAGATTACACCTTGAAAGGGATCCCAGTCCAATACAGGGCAATTTTATAAAAACACACACAGGGGCATTTTGGAAGACACCAATTAAACTAGACAGCATGTCATTGGATGACATTAAGCCAATATTTCTTGAAAGAAGTGAGGGTATTTGCTCAACATGCCGAGTGAGGGTATCGGCTCAACATGCTAAGTGAGGGTATCATCTAAACATGCTGAGGAATTGGCACAACATGGCTGAGTAGCTTGTTTAAGACTCCCACAATCCTTTGTAGAAAGGTTAGATGAGCTTTGAGGTAGTAACACCATGTTCAGTCTAAAAATAATTAATGCCCTATTTTACACCTGTGCATTATTTTAAAAGCTGTGCTGTATCATAAAAACTGGAATGTTTTTAAAACAAACTAATCTATCCATTTTATTTAGAGTGAACTATCTGTTGAACTGTAAAAGAATCAGAACATAAAACAGACCATAGACTGAGACAGAAAAGGAATGACTCATTGAAAACTTGAAAACAAGCACAAAACTGTCCTGTAATAAAAGCCAGCAGGAATTATACACTGATTTCTACACTGATATCAGCAGTCAGCACGTTAAAAACCATAGCCTTGAAGGGACTTGGGAAGTTACCCCTCCCCCTATTGTACTGTGTTACTATGAAGGCCATAGAAGTACAGCATATTATAAGGAAGGAAAAAGAAAAAATATGCTCCAAGTGATTTCAATAAAATAGAAAAATGTTTGACCCCAGTCTTTGTAAGACAATACTAACTTATAATCTTATACACAGTGCATGTTTCTAAGACTATGAGTGTGTTCAGTGGCAGAAATAATAAGAACAAATAACGTTTGACTTTTGTGTGCAGCATGAATGGCTTACAGCAGGGTGTATTTCAGAAGCTTTTAAAATAAATTAAACCTAGCCCCAGTCATTATCTTCTTGGTTGAAGTTGACTGAAGTACATGTATTAATCTATGATATGAAAGTGTATGTTTGCATTGTAATTCTGTAAATTCTGTATTTTATTAATGATTGAATATAAAATTAAATAGAAGACATACTTATGAAGAATGTTTGGGTTCCAGCATTCCAACAATCCCCAACTGTGATAAAATACCATCAACAAATAGTTTGAATTTGTAAATGGAATGACAAGTTCAGTCACCAGAAGAACTGCAGTGTTAAATGCCAAAAAGCTTAAATATTACTGATTGAAGACCATTAAATATAATGGTGTAACATGTATCATTTTTAAAAGCCCTTCCTGACAGCAATGACTTTAAAAGGGAGAATTAGAGAGTGAATCTAGTATCAGTGGTTCTTCCTACACCAGTTGTTCTTAAAGCGGAGAGCTAAGCTGAATGTGTTTCACAAGTAACCTTGCAAGGTCAGCTTTGGGATATCCTTTGCAGAAGAAAGAGTTGCATCCAATATCTGCAAAGATATTAATGGCAACAAAAACCATCTGACAAAGCTTCTCACTAACACAAAAAACTTGAAAGCTTATGCTGCCTATTAAGTAAGCAATATTAGTTAAACTGCCCCTGGTTTTAGTCAGAGTTTACAAGCATATGGGAAGTATATGGGAATTCTCAAACACTAGTTTGAGCAGTGTGGTTACTATGGTTAGTGCTGACAGAGAAACAGACAGCGACAAGCAATGAATGAGATCCCCCAGGGAATATACTCATTTGTAAAATATTCAGAACAGGACAAAGTGTATTTGCTAAATACGACATGTAATCAAAAAAAGGAAGACATGGTAATCATATACATATGTACAGTAACTTTTGTATGTTTCTCACTAGTACAAACAGTAAGAACATACGTTCATAAATGCACTTCCATATGGTATCCACCTGTGTCCTCCGGACTGTGATTCACAGTTTATAAAGAACCCACTGCAAATAGCATTACTGGAAAAGTGGGTTACAATTTGTCAAAGGATGGTACTATCTAAAAAATGCAATAACTAATGTTATTCTGCCCATTGACCTTTGTCAAGCAAGCAGAAAATACTGCCCATTAAAGGAATTTAATCTGTAATCCATATGTTGGTTAATGTTGTCAAAATCATGTGACGTCTTCTTTACAGCAGTAATTTTGAAACTTGCTCGAAATTCTGTTCATACAATTTAGTTTCACATTCAAGAAAATACCACTTATTCAGAACAAAGTGACCTGTGTAATGCTATTACATCCTAAATAGATGCATTTATTTAATCATGTAAAACCATCCGTGAATCTAGAGTAAATGTTATGACTTTAGAATTTATTTGAATAATTAAAAAAAAATATTTACTGAAATAAATTCCTCAACAGAAAAACAAGATGTTACTCCTGTTTTACCAGAATTATTTGGTAAAATGTATATTTTGTGTATGAAATGCAAAAATTAGTTTGTGAATTGACTGTAATAAAATAATTCTTCACTGACAGCACCACTTGATATAAGACTAAGGTTGAAAATCCCTGTTATCTTTTTTCTCTGCAATTACTTTACACCTCACACTGTCAAATTACCTTCAATTAAATTCCTTAATCCCCCACTTCTTCATCTACATCAATGATTTGCAATAAGTCTTCTAATTACTGCTACAACATTAAGATTAATTCCTAAATATTGCATTGTACTGTAGAACTTGTGACTTATCAAGATATCGATATTCTTCTGAGATAATCAGTTTTCTATACTATGGTACATCCAATGTGAATTGCCAGAGGCAAAGAAAGGAAGTGGTATATCTATTGGCACTTTTAATGTAGTCTTTCGATCCATTTTCTTTTTGTTTGAGGCTGTTGGAATCTATGAATATTATTAAGAGCTGTAAAATTCTCAGAGTCATTAGGACTGGATGTATTTCATAAATGAATTCCAAGATGCCAGATGGTTTATGTGAAAAGAAAGCAGAAAGATGAGCTATGGTACAGCAGGATGTAGCTGATCAAACTGTGGACATAATGTTACTTATTTTCATCAGTGGTTGTAATTTATAACAGAGCGACAACAATTCATATTCCCTCTAGGCACTGTTAAGATTTATTCTAGCTCTCTATGTCCCAGACAATTCACAGGTAAAAATAGTTTTCTCTAGATGAAAATGGGGTGCATAAAAAGGCAGGAACTTCATAAATGTATGGAAATCAGCTACTTATTGTTTTGGGGTGCAATTTGCTGTTATATTGTTATGGAAGAATGACTTGATTATTTCCTGGTCTCTAAGCATTGCCCTATACAGTATATACAGTACAAGCTAAAGGAACTTCCTCTCTGCAGTCAATCAAATGGATTACTTTAGTGTTAACAATGAAGCCATAGAGGTTGGGATATGAAAATGTAAAAAAATAAGATGCACTTAGGACTGAAAATAAGTATTGCTTTACAAAAAGAGCTGTGGGTGTCTGGAACAAGATTTCTAGCCACTGTATTGAAACTAATACTCTGGGATCCCCTACGACAAGACTTTGAATATCTATTAGCAATGAGCAGCCAAACAGGACTGGCATGAAAAAGCCTCCTCTCAACCATAACTATTCATATGTTCTGCTGAGTGAATCTCCCCAAAGTGCAGTTTGGAAAAGCCATTTTAGATTTAGATTTAAACAGATGGGACAACAAAAAGGCTTAATTTTTGTGTAAGTAGGAATTAATACACAGTACATTTACCAAGCTGTTTTGCATATTTCAGTTGAAAAGTATAAAATAAGAAATCTGATAAATAAAACCCTAAATATCTTCTTTCAACCAAAAGGCACTTTTTCTAGTCTCTGACAATAGGAACAGTTTTATATGCCATCTAAATCTCATAAGTGAGAGAGAGAGATGCGGAAGCCAATGACAACCTTTAAAAACAACATCAAAGAGAGAAAGATAAATTGCTTGTAAAGAGCATACTCTATATTTTCATGGTAGTATATGGTAAGGTCAGATTTATTCTTTCATCTGTGTGACAGTGCTGTTGGAATGCAGACAATAATCTACAGGTGTCATATTTTTCCACGGGATATGAAAATAATGTCTGTTGATGAATTATGAATTTTATTAGTATAAAGCATCCTGCCAAGTAGGGAAAAGTAAAAAAGAAAGTCTATTTTTATTAAATTAGCTGTGGGAATGGACTTTTTTCAACCGCATGCATTATATTGTAGTTCACTTTGTTTTATGTCTTCTTGTTGCCTTGAGTTGACCTATATTCTAATATTTCTTCATTTTGAAGTGTTATAGCTTGCAGCCAAACATTTGTGTATATAAATATCTGTAGTGTCTCTGACCTTTAAGGTAAACAATGCAGTCTTTTGTTCACTATCATTTTTCTGTAAGGAAGCATTTTAATATATGTGGGCAAAGATTCCAAAAAAATAAAAATAGACTTTTTGTTTCTGCAGGAGTCCCTGAAAAACCACAGATTGGTGGTTTTACAAAACCTGCCATGGAGGGAGACCAGATCACACTTACCTGTATGACCTCTGGGAGCAAGCCCGCAGCCGATATCCGATGGTTCAGGAATGAAAAAGAGATTAAAGGTAATGCATTGTGTGGGATTGATGCCTTCATTGCATTCAGCATTGGTTCCTTGGATTACAGCATTTTGCAAAGGTGAGAGTTTTGCAGCAGCACTGATGTCTTCTTCCACCTCTACCTAAAAGGAGCTCTGAATTAATAATGGTGTTAAAAACACCATTTGACTACAGTACAAGCATAGGATGACTATATAAATAGAATGTGTCAGTGCTAATAATTAAGCCAATAATTATATTGTCTGTTTAAAAGTACACTTATTAACCATTATCATAATTAACACTTTAACATTAAAAACTTATTAACATGAACTCTTTCAGACCTTTGTGATTGACGATCCATCCTAGCAAGTCATAATTTCAGACTAGAAGTTAGAGTTCCAACAGGAGGCATCAACATTTTTGTAGACTGATATCTACTGTAATGTCTTCTGTGTAAATAAGGAATATCTCAGTTGAAATTAATTTTCATGACTACTGGAATCTGTTCAATATCAAATATCATGGATTATTCAATACAGGTTTAGCGGCAATACGCACATTTCCTCTAGTTTTGGAGTAGAGCAAAACCCTCCCAATGAAACAGTGAAACCAGCTTCAAACCATAAATGTACATTTATGTCCACATTTCTAAAGACTATTTTAACAAAAGCATATTTGTCACTCCTTCTAAAGCCAGAGGGTGCTCCTACTCTGTCCTGTCCCTTGTTTCCCTGTGCTTTGCTTGTCCTTCCAGTGTGTCTCTGTCTGGGGCTATATATTTCCATGTCACACTTTCCTACTCGCTCAACATTGAGGATTCGGATGTCTTGAGATCCGCCTATCACCAGGTCGTCTCCTCAGCGGCCTGAGGGCATAGGTTTCTACCTGACATCGTCTGAACTGCTGAGCCCAGGCTAATCCCCATTCCACCACTATGCATAGGGTCTTTTTCACTCTCCTGCCATTCCACGGCATGCCTTTCTGACATCTGTGACAATATTGATATTAGATTGGTGGTGCGGTGGATCTGTGGTTAAGAATCACAGATCCACCTGTGGCTGGAAAGTTGGCGGTTTGTATCCCATGGCCAGCAGAGGAATCCTATACCGTTGGGCCCCTGAGCAAGGCCCTTAACTCCAACTGCTCCACACTATATAAATGGCTGAACCTGCGCTCTGACCCCAAGTTTCTCTTCCTGTTTGTGTGTCTCATGGAAAGCAAGTTGGGGTATGTGAAAAGACAAATTCCTAATACAAGAAATTGTATATGGCCAATAAAGTGATCTGATCTTATCTTATTAGATTGGTAAATAATGTACATTGTACTATACATACAATACATATGGCTATGTAGGTAAGATTTTTTGTCGGTCAATACAAGCGTTAAATAGTTTGCATTTACAAACTATTCACAGAAAATTAGTGCTCTATCACTTTACCCTTAAGTTTCATTTAGATTTGGAGTGAATACATTTTAAAGAGCAGTGACATCTTGGTTAATATTTTTATTGTGAAAGTAAAGTACTTGCTAATTAAAATAGAAAGCACAATGATAATTAGATAATTAAAGTTCAATTAGATAACTAAAATACTTAGAAAAGCTGGTAGAAAAGTGACATTTAACCAAATGAGTGTTTATTCTAGATTTATGATACATTATTAGGCTTTAGGGTTCCAAAGTCTACTGTACGTCCTTGTCCTCTCTGTGGAAGTTTGGTAATAAATAACGAATAGGGGTCAGCACTGACAGGGTGAATTACAAAATTCCTTTAATGGATTTTACATCAAGAGTGAAATTGCAAACCGGTTTCATTAATTCTTTGATGGAGTTAATGGGTGCCTCATGACTCAAATCAGCATATTCACAATCACATTTGGAGCACCTACTCCAAATTCTTACAAAGTAACAAGAAGGACAGGCTTGTTTTATTTAGGAATGTCAAAGCCAGAGCTGGAAAAGATGCCAGCCTCTGGAATGCATGCGTTAACAAGGAAGAAGTTGGAAAAGTCCAAAGTCATTTTACCAGACTTCTTAACAAATGCACAGTGTAGAGGTTTGTAATCACTAACACCCTGTTTCTCTAGAAAAAAAAAAGATGCAGAACATCCTGGCAACATCCACAATCCAAAGATATCTGATTGATTACTTCACTGTCTATGCCTGGAATTACAAAGATATTTGCATCACCAGAGCAATGTCATTTAGAATACTGACTCACAAACATCACTGGAAATCATAACTGAAGCACTGGGGGAATCCAGTCCAAAGATATATATTTTTTATTTATTTTTTAAAATGATGTGGGAAAAGCCCACATACCACTTGGGAAGACATCAAGAGAAACATGACCAATCGGCAATGCCCGCAAACAGTTTTACCTCCAAACCGTCTCATTCCTCCTGCTGGAGAGCTTCTCCCACCAGTCCCATTATGGATGTTGACATCCTCAAGAGGCACTACTAACATGTTTTTACAGCATATTAATTATAGGACATATGGGAGGAAGAGCAGCAGCCTCTCTATTGTGCATTCTTTGACTTGAAAAAGATGTTTTATCTCCATACAGTATATCCATATAACTCTTATATATCCCCTTGAATTTCAGACAAGAATCAAACAAGGGTATGTTATTGCCCCAGGTTTGTTTTCAATGTTATTGAGTGTCATGATCTATTTAATTATAGTCAACTCCCTTCTGGTTTTCAACTAATTTACTGAATGGACAGTAAATTATGTAACCTCCAACAATTTCGGTCCAAAATTGAAAACAACCCATCTTCAGTCATTGAACTTAAATCTACTGGTGATGCTGCAATACTGTATGTGCCTTGACAGAAATGGATTGCCATATAAATATGTGACTTCTAATTAGCACTCAGAAATCCTCCATTGGTGAGCTCCAAATGCACATACTGTACCTCTGTGCCACCAGTTCATATTCACAATGCGTGTCTGGAGAATGTAGAGCATTTATGATACACTGGGACCCATAACAACCATAAATCTGAAACCAAACCAATGATCTGCCATAAAGCAGCATTCCTATGTCATTCCAACAGTCATATCATCAGTGCCATTTTAATAAAATTTTACATATCAAGTGAGAAAACTACTGCACCTGAAGCAGTAGTAATCTCCCATCATCTCCATTGGTTTGATCATGAGGTCCAGATGTGATACTCCAGGCTGTCATAGAATGTCTTATTCTCCCAGCATAGCCCAGCAAATTACATAAGAAGTGGATAGAAGAAGAAGCATTTAACATGGTAAAAGCAAGCATGAAGAAATGTTGTTTCAATGTCATCTCCTGGGGGGGGGGGGGGCATATCTGGGAAGGGGCCCAGCAATTTGAAACCAAAGATATCAGAATGAAGACAAAAATTGAAAGGTGAACTCTAACAGAGCTCACCATAACTAGAAAGCACAGTGTATGACCAGATTTTTCCCAAGATAACAGAGACTCACCCTGCCAGAGAGTGTGTAGATCCCTATTGGTCTTATCAGTGAACTTTAGAGCTCATGGAAAATAATCGCCCTCAGCAAACAAGCGATATTCTATGAACAAAGTGAACATATTGTAGCTATTATTGGTTCCAATGACTTCCAATGAATTTGGATTTTGTTTTCTCCTTTAATTTACAGTAGGATAATTTAATTTGAAGAATAACTCTAATCATTCCTATTTAAAACAAACAATTCCTTACTTGTGTGTATCCAATGCATTGTAATACTTGAGCCTCGGTAGTGAATTATAATAATTGAAGCAAAACTGTAAAAGTGGTCATGTACATTATGGAAATGCTACAACTTAAAGCTCAGTTTTCTTTTAAAGTCACCAGTTGTAAAAGACCTCCTTATCTGGCTGTCCTGCTAGGTCAACACATCTTTGCACACATACATGGAGTACTAGAACACAATTTGTAAGCTAACTACTTGTGTTTCTTTAAGAAATGGCTTAGAGGGTCATTTGGTTACTGGCTACTGAATGTATGGGATGGAATGTATGAATGACCTCCTGTTATTTAAAACAACAATATTCTTAAGAAGATAACATAAAGGCCATACATTGGCTCCAGATAATCAGTGATGATTGGACAAAGACAGACAAGAAAAATGATTGCTTTTGGAACTCACAATTTACTTATGACTGAATTTTGTTGTCATAAAAAAGTAATTACACTTTTAACAAAACAAAATTCCACAAAATGGAAAAATGCAGTTCTAAAGAAAAATCAAAGTACAGTACATAGTGAATGTTGCTTGACATTTCTATCCCTAATTACTATTCTATTAGCTGTACAGACAAATGAAAGAAGCATGTGGCACTGATTTATTACTAGATGGCTAAAAACACTCTTACTGACTTATGCCCCGGTGTCATAAAGATGTAGACAGGCAATTTGAATAAGTGAGGCAGGTTATATTTTTAATTTATCTATGGCCTCGACCTTAAAAAATTATAAATACATTTAATAAATACTTCCATACTGTGGAAGTATGGAACAAGCTATCCAGCCATGATGCTGAAGCCAATACCCAGGTGTCTTTCAAGAAATGGCTGGGTGAGATCCTTAGATTAATTAGCTGTTAACAACCAATCCAATTAAAAGTGCCTCCACTCATTTGTTACTATTCTTATAAATAAGTATAGCACAAAAAAACAGATTAAAGTGCAGAGAAACTATAAGGAAAAGAGAATTATCAAATTTTCTATAGCAACATGGGGGTATGTTTAATATAAGTGTATGTTTCATTGTTGCTATTGCCAATGCTACATTCCTTTAATTGCATGTTCAGATTTTTAAAATTAAACTAGAGTTACACTTTTATCTAAGAAATGTGCCCAATTGTTCTTTCACTTTTAATTGGATTGAGTGTCATTGTGCAAATAAGTTCATTACTTACCCTTGATCCCATTTTAAAGAGAGACACTTATGCATTTGTCTAATTTTGATTTCCAATCGATTTTCCCTTTAATTCTTCTTGTTTTATTTTATCTGTTTAACAAGAGTGACTCCAGGCAG